CAGGAACCACTAGTGACAGCAAACGTTTCACAGCTATGACAGAACAAGTTTTGTGGAGCACTGGGAAATGCTCTGCAGATGATGCAAACACAGGTGGTCAGCCATGTGAAGTATAGCAAGGTCTACAGTAAGCACAAAGCACAGCTAACTCTCTTCCTCAACTCGCCCTGCCTGTTTTGCTTACTCAAGCACCACTGCAGTGAAGGCTGCAGACCTCTGTCGCTTGTGACTCCCAGTACTTACTGGAGAGTGGACACATACGGGAACCGGTCCCTAGCTCCTAAATTTTTCCTTACAACCCTCTATCCACTTTGCCTTTCCTGTTCAGTTGTTTCCCCTTCACTGTCCATCTGCACGTCTCTGTCTTTCTCCTTAGGTCATTGCACATTAGCCTGCATAAGAAGCTCCATGGGGAGAAATCCTCCCCCTGTTGTAAGGACTCACCAGCTGGGGACAAGGAGAGTGCTAAGAGATACAACAATATACAGGCTCCAGAGGTCTTCATCCCTGTGGAGGAGAGAGGAGTCAGAGGAAAGCTAAGGCAGGAACAGGGATACACTCCCCTGTACCAGATAAATTATTTGATTGCTGCCTCCAATCCCCTCACAAGACCATTTGGTCTTGCCAGCCTCCCTCCCGCCTGTCTCCCTCCCATCTGGCCATTTTTCCAGGTGTTTCTGAAACATTTTGGACTGAACACATTCCATCTGCTTTCTCTTCCCACCTCCTTTCTCCAGTCTCCATCTCTTTTCTAATCCAGGTGGCTAACCCCCCCCCTCCACACACATCCCCAGCATGCAAAGAAAAGTTTCCCCTTTATGTCCTTCCACTGTCTTCTACTTTTAAATTATCTTGAGGAACACTGAGCAAATAGATAAGGTCCCCATCACTTACTGCAGCCCTCGGTCTCTGATCCCTTCAGCAGCACACGCTCTTGTCTTTCCCCTTCAGCGGTCCCCACCAGTTTGGCTATTGGGTAAATCACATACAGCCACACCCAGAACATGTTCTACTTTTGCTTGTCTTCAAAATACGATTTTTGGGAAGAAAA